TACAACGTCCCACATCTATATCACCCATCACTGGCTACAACGTCCCACATCTATATCACCCATCACTGGCTACAACATCCCACACCTATATCACCCATCACTGGCTACAACATCCCACATCTATATCACCCATCACTGGCTACAACATCAATCACTGGCTACAACGTCCCACATCTATATCACCCATCACTGGCTACAACGTTCCACATCTTTATCACCCATCACTGGCTACAACGTCCCACATCTATATCACCCATCACTGGCTACAACGTCCCACATCTATATCACCCATCACTGGTACAACGTCACATCTATATCACCCATCACTGGCTACAATATCTCACATCTATATCACCCATCACTGACTACAACGTCCCACATCTATATCACCCATCACTGGCTACAATATCTCACATCTATATCACCCATCACTGACTACAACGTCCCACATCTATACCACCCATCACTGGTTACATCCCACATCTATATCACCCATCACTGGCTACAACGTTCCACATCTATATCACCCATCACTGGCTACAACGTCCCACATCTATATCACCCATCACTGGCTACAACGTCCCACATCTATATCACCCATCACTGGCTACATCTGAGGTACATCTGAGTTTGGTATTTTAGCTCCCATTATAGCAGTAAAATACTAATTTAACATTACTAGTAGTACAGTAGATAAATTATACTGGTATACTACGCACAACAAAAACATTATAATGAGACTAAAATTCAAAATAATTCACGAAAAGAATCAACTGTACTTCCGGTGAAAACTAATGTTGATGACGTAATCATATGATGTCGCCCATAGCAACGTGCTCTCTGGTGTTGATGACGTACTCTCAAGTGTCATACTAACTAATTGCTTACGTAAGGGCGGAAGACAATATTTCAAATAGTTAAGTAAGTAGCGATTGGCAGGATGGGTAAAATAGAATTATTAAAATTTAGCAAAAGTAAAGGAAGTGAATGAGAAATTAATAGGGATTATCAAAATATGGGTTTTAATTTCATAACTACATGAATAGGTTATAAGTAAAGAAAGTATGAGAAAATTAAAATAATAATAGGCATGTTACAGCGCATGAAAAAAAAAGAGAATCAAAAATAAAGAAATGAGAATCTCATTGTAAACGATAAAGAGGTTAAGGAAGGAGGCTTCCATTTTTGTGATTACAGTATGGTTGCTGGGGGTCTAGGAATAGGAATACTCGAGCTAAAATCACGAGAGATTCAAAAATATAAATAAGAGACAGGGTAATGAGTGGTCGTGTGCACGTGCTAATCGTTTAATACAAATAAAGGTTACATGGTGCAGCTTTTGTGCTCGAAATTCAAACAAACGTGAAGACGTTTCTTGTATGAAATTATAGTAGAGAAACCTGTACAACTGGCTTAGAATTTTACGTAAACCGTTAGTTGTGAGCTACCTTAAAATAACTTTACTAGAGTATAAGAATATTTATTGTTTCGCCTTTCCCAAACTAGTATAAAAACAAACCTTTATTTAGGTATATTGAGGATTTTTTCTAGGTTTGAATTCGGTCTCTTGGTGTGTTTAATGAATAAAATATTTTTACTGGCATACCGTGAAACAATTGATAAAATATTTTTACTGGCATACCGTGAAACAATTGATAAAAAATTGTTTCACGGTATGCCAGTAAAAATATTTTCTATTAGTATTTGTTTGTCAATTGAGTGAAATAGATGACGGACAGCAATTTATGAAATGATTTGGTTGTGAATAGATCAGTATACTTTCAGTTGGTAAAGTCTTTGGACAGCAATTTGTGGCAAAAAAAAATATTTTGAGTATTTTGGTGTGAATTTTGAAGAACGTCAGTTAATTAATTCGGAAAAAGTTATTGTAAACAACTTTATAATTATGAATTGAATCCAAATTAAAGCTGAAAGCTAGTAAATAAAGCGTCAGAAAATTAATAACAATTGATGTTAGAATAAGCAAAGACAAAATATAATGTCCTAACTAACGAGAAGAATGGATATATTATAGTATAATAAAGTGGGTTTGTTGATACGTGGTAAGAAAAACACAGGTCTAAATAACGAGGCTTAAAATAGTAATCGTAAAACCTAATTCAATACCACAGAAAATGGCTTCTAAAGACATTGAATAATAGCAAATTTGGTTTGTTTCAGTTTGCTTAATAGTGTAATGTGGGACGCAGAAATAAATATCAACAGCAGATTATAAAATGGTTTAAGAAGTTAGGGTTAAACCAAAAGATGTTTAGTGTAGGTCATGCCGTGAAGTCAACGATGACGAATCGTTATGTAGCCACGCCTTATGACTATCGTTAACCAATCATCTTAGAGTTGATTACTCGTAACTAAGTGTTACCGGCTGAAAGTTTTATTGTGTTTAACAGAGACGCCGTAGTAATTGCTTTGGCCAACTGCTGTACAAGTGTGTTTGCTGGATTCGTGATCTTCTCAATATTAGGGTTCATGGCATACACGTTAGATGTACGTGTTGAGGATGTAGTGGACTCAGGTAAAAAAAACAACTTTGTATTTAATAATCGTACTGAACGAAGTCATTAGACTTCTTAAATAGAATACTATTGAAAGAAGGGCGTAATTTTTAATGTAATGTTGTGATTTACAGTGTGTGTGTGTGTCTATATATATATACTGAGAATGTATATCAAAAACGTAAAAAATACCGCTTCTCAAATAAATCTAAATAATCTAAATTAAATACATATACTTTATAAATGTACAAACATATAATACAGTTCATGTATAAATTAAGTACATTACAAATGATTAAAAATAAATAAAATTAGTATTCTAATTATCCTTTTTCTTGTTATTATTATAATAGAAATACCGTTTATTTATCCCATAATTCCGTACTCGTTCTTTTCCTTTCGGTTAGGCTTAGTGTGTGTGTGTGTGTATACATATATATATATATATATTATTTATTTATTTAGGAGGAGTTACTAATGCATCACAAACATAGTTAAATGCTACTATTACTGTTTCTTAATAACATGTTTTGTTTTACAAGAAAGAAAATAGCATGGCCAGGTGGTTAAGGCACTCGACTCGCAATCTGAGGGTCGCGGGTTCGAATCGCCGTCAAACCAAACATGCTCGCCCTTTCAGTGGGTCGTTATAAAGATGGTCGTATTTTGACCACTAAAGAATAATCCTATTGGGTATAAAGTGCGACATCTGGTGCAGTTTATAAGAAACTTTTGTAACTTAGTCTTTCACAAACAGATGGCATTCATAATGTCCCCTAGTGGCAGACTTATTCTCTTTTAAAATTTGGAGACTTGGTAACGACATAAGCTTGACGAAACGTTGCATGTTTGTATTAAAGATTCAAGCCGTCTTCAAACTTCATTTTCTAAAGCTTTGATTCCTATCATTCTCTATTGAATGATAAACTCTTACAAATTGTTTTGAACTGTCCGTGAAAAGATTTGTATTTGAAGAAATTCCCGCCGGATAAATACCAACTATAAATAAAGCCCCTTAGCGTCAGTCATTACCTCCTAGACTAAACTTGATATAACTACATATCTGTTCGTATAAAGCTCGTCTCTTTTGTAAATAATCGTCCTAATAAAGCCAGCAATTAAATTATTTATCACATCATGTGATCGTTTTAAAAGTATGAGATTTTTACATATTAGCAAAGTTCAGAACTGTGATTTAATGGATTCAAGTTCCTAATAAAGTATCCAGTTAATTTAATAATGATTGGAGACGACTTGAATGGGTAATGAGGAAAAACTTTAATATAAGTTTAACACAACAGCAAATGTACAACGTTTCGACAAGGAGATTGGCTCGGCCAGGGCAACTTCTGGATAC